GGTTATTCTTAAAGCATGCAGGGATATTTAGACTCAGGATGGCTCAGCAAATACTTATGGTGGGAGTCTTGGATCATTTATGATACTAATCACTTACTTTTTCCATAGGTTTGAATTTTTTAGAACAAATATTTAAAGGAAAAAAATGTTGATTGAAATTTAACTTAAAGTTCATGAGAGGGTCCTCCCTGGTGGCGCAACAGGTTAAAGTGCAGCACTAGGAAGCTGTCAGCAGCTACTGCAGAGCGAGTTCAATCCCCAGCCAGGGAGTGACACACATGGCGAGGCTGCCCTGTCTCCCCGTTGCTCCCTTCAGCAGGATTTCAGTAGATTCGCCTATTCTGCTCCCCACTCTGTCTCTGGTGAATCCTTTCACCCCCCCTTCTCCAAACCCCACACTCTGGCCTATACACCAGTTCCTGTATGCATGAATAATATATATTTTTTTAAGCTTTAAAAAAATATAGTTCATGGGGAGAGGAAGTCCTAGCTTCTCCTGGGAGCTTTATTCTCTCGTTTCCACCCAAACCAGATGACACTTCCTTTCTCCTCTGTATCTTTTTGTGCAGGAGGGTGGTGAAAGGTGGGTAGACCTGGGCCCTCTCTGTGAGCTCTCTGGGCAGGTAGCTGGTTCCCATATAGGCGACCTTAAACTTGGGCTATGCAATAGTTATCATCAGGTCTTTGGAAAATCCTGTTCAACATCCTATCGCTGATCGCTGAAAGACAGAGACTCTGCTTGTGCTCAGCAGCTGATGGCTGCCACTGTGGGATGTTCGGAAATGGTTTGTGAATGTCATGTGATTTGTGAGGGGGTTGTTCTGGGCAGCCCTTCTGGAACTTTCTGACCTCAGGAAATGTTTACATTCCTAAAAGTTTTCTACTTTTTTGAGGGCCCCAAAGCCACTGATGTGGGCCCCAACTATTGATATTTAATGCCTTAGAACTTAAAACTGATGATGTCTTTATTTTTACCTTGTAAAAGGACATGTTCTCGGGAAAAGGAGAAAAGAGGCACCTGTGTAGTCACAGGAGGGTGGGGAGCTGCTGCTGCCTCTTTGCAAAGGAAAAAGGTTGATGAAAAGAAACACCTGCACGGTCACAGGCGGGCAGAGAGTTGCTTAAAACCGATGATTTTATTTAAAAAAAGATTTGTTTATTTATGCAGACAAGAACAGGCCAGAGGTGCAGGGGGTGTGAGACTCACTAGAGACAGAGTGGGGAGCAGAACAGGCAGATTGACTGAAACACACTGCTGATGGGAGCAGCAGGGAGACAGGAGAGGTCTGCTGCGCCATGTAGGTCAGCTCCCTGGCTGGGGATCGAACTTGTGCTGCAGTGGCTGCCAATAGCTTCATAGTGCTTTAGCCCCTTGGGCCACCAGGGAGGGCCTCCAATTGGATAATTTGAAAACACAAGGACTCATGAGAAAGCAGAGTTCCATTAGCTGGCCAGCCTTGCCATCATGTTATGATGCATCTCAAAAGTGTGACTGTACCCTCAGGAAGAATGAAAATGAAACGGTCATAGAATACTCTGGCTGTTAGGAACATAGTTTTCACTCACAGTAAAGTCTCAGGGACGGAAACCCCACCCCTACCGCCCGCCCCACCAGGACCTCTGCACCAAATTTTGTGTCCCAGCCTGCGGACAGTGCAGTTCAAATGTGAAAGTGTCCTTCTGGATGGGTTGGTGACCCTTCATCTGTCAGGGGAGGAGTGTCCTTTGTAGAAAAACAGGGCTGAGGGCCCTCCCTGGTGGCGCAGCGGGTTAAAGCACAGCACTAAGAAGCTAAAGCCACTTCCGCATGAGTTCGATCCTACCTGCCCTGGAGGTGACCACATGGCGCGGCAGACCTCTCCAGACCCACCCGCTGCTCCCCTCAGCAGTGTACTTCATCCATCTGCCTGTTCTGCTCCCCACTCTGTCTCTGGTGAATCCTCTCACCCTCCGCATCTCTGGCCTGTACCCCAGTTCTGTATGAATAAATAAATAAATCTTAAAGAAAAAACAAAACAGGGCTGAGAATTGGGGTGTGCTGGGGCAGCCACCATCCTCCAGTGCCTTCATGGCCAACCTCTTTTGGGAAGCTAGGCGGCTCTCACATTAAATCATTTAAAAGAGGTGAATTTTATGATGTGTAGATTATACCTCAATAAAACTTGTGTTGTGAAACAGCACAAAGCAAAATATGCGTTGAGGGAGTAAGCGAGTCTGATCACCAGCCGCAGGCGACCATGGGAATACACAGCCCTTGTCGGTGCCCTCACAGGCCAACAGAGACAGCCCAGAGGGGTCACTGGGGTCACAGGGCCGGACAGGGGGAAGAAGCAGAGGCTAAGGCTGGGGCATCCTAGAAGCCCCATGGAGGCTCCTGATACAGATTGAGGGGCTCAGGAGGATTCCGAGGGGCCGAACCGCTGGGATGTTGTTCTTGACATCTTGTATAAAAACAGGGCTGAGGGGCCTCCCTGGTGGCGCAGCGGGTTAAAGCACAGCACTAAGAAGCTCAAGGCACTTTTTTCTTCTTCTATTTTAAACGCCTTTTGCGCCGGACCTGGAGTCTGGGGGCGTCTTTCCCAGCCACAGCTCCGGCCCTGCGGCGAGTGTGCCAGGACTGGTCACAAGGGGGCGCTGTCTTATCGCGCTGGGGGAGAATCTCAGCGGCTCGCGCGGCCGTGGCGGAAACGGTCTTGGGGCGCCTTTGAGGACCGGGGTTGTCTCTGCGGGAACGTTTCCAAAAGACCGCGGCAACAGGGGCAGCGCGAGCCCCTGAATGGGCCGTGGAAGCACCGGGGGCGGGGGAGCCGCCGATCGCTGCGCCCCGTCGCGCTCCGGGCCGCCCCATCCCCAGAGCGCAGAAGGGTTCCCCCTGCCGCGGGTGCGTTGCCGGGGCTACCGCCGTCTGGAGGGGCGGGGCGCCCCGAAGCCACGGGGAGGCGGGGTTTTCAATGCCGGACAGTCCCGCGTGGAAGGGTGGGAAGTGGCCCACGCTTCCCTGACGCTGACCGAGTCGGGCTGCCCAGAGGGCGGCGGGAGCGGGGCGCAGCGGGACCCCCACCGGGCGGGGGCAGGGGCATTGCGCGTGGGTGGGACTTGGGGAGCTGCGGGGGGGAGGGCCAAGGGGAACTGGAAAGGGGACCACTTGAGCTGGACATCCTCCCCCCTGAAAGGCCTGAATGGGCAAGGGGTGGGCACGGGGTGGGGCGGGGTTGCTGGGTAGGGCGAGGGTGGCCTGGGGCTTCCCTCAGAGCACTGATAGCCCCACATGCCAGGCGCCGTGAAGAGTCTACCCAGTGCGAGGTGGGGGTGTGGAGGGGAAGCTGAGGAGGCATGGGAGAGAACGCCCCTTCGCAGGCCTGTCGTGGGGAGGCTCTGGGGTGGGTGCCGCCAGGAAAGGTCAGCCTCTGGGGGGCGGGGGCGGATGGTTCTTGCCTTGTCTCTGCGGTGCGGAGTGCTGCATGGCCTGTTTCCGCTTGGGTCCGGCAGCAAAAATCATCTCTGTCCCATCCGAGGCCCGTCCGGCCAGTGTTTGGCATCAATGAACTGCTGCTTTGGCCTCTTTGTGCCTGGCCGGGTCACTGAGGGAGCCAGGTGGCTCCCTACCCCCAGCTCACATCCCACTGGGGGACAGTTGCAGTCCAGAATTCTCAGGGTTCCTTCTGGGAGAAGGGTGTTCTGGTGGAGGGAACAGTGTCTTGGAGATGAGAACAGGTGACTCACACCCCCAGAGTCCTTTGCTTCCTCCCAGGGGAGCTCCTGGGTGTGCCAGCAGAGCCCCCGGACCCAAGCTGGCATTGGCAGCCCCTGAACTTGTGTCACTGCAGGTTGGGTCCGTGGGTGGCCCCCAGCTGGGCTGGAAGCTGATGTGAACCCTAGCTCCGCCTGGGTCCTCCAGGTGACCTCCCCATCCAGGAGGGGACTACGGCGGGCTTCACACCATCACCGCACTGGAAGCACCACAGAGAATTAAGTGACTTGTGCATTAGGTACTTTAAAACACGCAACCCTTGGACTGTCTCCAAGCACTCCAGAAACACCTGCCTGTCAGAAGACACCTGGGGCCCAACTTGGGGAAGATGCAAGTGATGAAACAAGAATTTGCTGACTCAGACAACCTGGTTCCAAACCTCAGTGCTTGACACTTCCATGTTGAACTTAGTAGCAGAAACTGATTTTATAAATTCCCCAGCTCCCAATCTATAAGGATTAGGAATGGGGTGATGAATGTGGGGTACCCGTTAGTCCGCATCTGTGTAGGGCTGGGACAGGGCCACCTGCTGCCATGTCAGCAGAGGTCACACACAGTGCAGGGACACCCTTTCTACTCCTCCTGCAGGTCTTGGGTGGCTCCGGAGGAAAGACTGACCAAGGCCTCTTCCCTCCACCCCAACGCACACCCTGCTTTCCCAAGGGGCACCGTTATATTCTTCCTTTATTGGCTGTCCTGTATAATACAAATCTGCAAGTTTAGATACAAAAAAATCTGGAAATAAAAGATAGAAAAGTACCCGCCAGGCACCGCTCCCCCTGATTCCCGGACACCTCCCCAACGGGCACCAACGTGAGGTAACTGAGCAGTCTCCTTCCCTGTCCCCCTACCCGCCTCCTGCCCCCGCCCCCATGAGACTAGGCCCGAGAAAGAGGTGGGCCCCCAAGTGGGGGGAGGGGGAGCACAGCATTGGCAGTGAACGCAGCGGGTGGGCAGAGGGAAGCCCTTTGCTTGTGCTGAGTATGGGGGGGACGACCGAACTCGGGCACTCGGGTGGGGCCTGGGAGAGCCCCGAAGTGGGCATCCCGCCTCCATCCCACCCAACACTGGAAGGTGGAAGGTCAACAACAGAAACTGGGAAATGAAGCCTGGATGGAGGGTACTCAGTGGGGTGGCGGCCATCCCCGTGTCTGGGGCGTGGGGGGCAAGGGGCATCGCCAGCTTAAGTCCGGCGATGAAATGGGTCCCTCAGCCAGGCTGAGTCCGTCCCTGAATTCCGTCCTGCCGCAGCCTGGGCGTCACTGTATCGGTTCTGTAGTGGTTGTGGGGGTGGCTGAGAGGAGGGGCTGGAGGGCGTGGGGGGGCACAGCCCCAGGGAGTAGGATGAGGGGCGCGGTTGGGCCTCCACTCCCAGGCGTGGGGCACCAGAGGATGGGTGGGCGCGGCAGCTTGGGCTACAGTTCAATCTCGAAGGTCTTCTGCAGGTCCCCCGAGAAGGGGTTGGGCGGCTTCTCCGCGGCGGGTTTGCCTTCTAACGCCGCCCACTGGGCCTCGAAGGGGTCCAACTCAGGGGCCGGGGCAGGTGTGGGCTCGGGGGGCCAGGGCGCCCCATTGGGGCGTGGGCGGGCCTGCGCCCCAGGGGCACTGGGTGCCATGGGGGGAGGGAAAGCCCCAGCTTTCCCGAGCAGGGTGGCAGGCTGGAGCTGGGCGGCTGAGCAGAAGGCGTTGGCCACCATCTGCGAGGGGGTGATGCCCACCACGGGCACCCGGGGCACGGGTGGGTAGCCCAGTCCCGGGTAGGCGGGCACAAAGGGGGGCTGCATGTGTGGGGGTGGCAGGAACACAGCCACCTGGGCGGGTG